ACGCTGGCTGACCTACCTGCTGACCGACCTCGGAGAGCGGCCTCGTTCTCCTCCAGTACTGTACGTCGACAACAAGGCTGCCATTGCCTTGTGTGAGGAGCACAGACTGGAGCACAGAACGAAGCACATCGCCCTGCGGTACTTCCTTGCTCGTGAGCTGCAGCAGCGCGGTCAGCTTTGTATTCGCTACGTGGCCACTGAGGCCAACACTGCTGATGTGTTCACCAAGGCACTTCAGCCTCGTGACCATCAGCGCTTCTGCACTCTACTAGGCCTTGTGCCTACTGGACCTCACTTACTTACCTCTTGACTTTGCTTGTACTGTGATCACTATATATATCTATACCTGCATGTTTACTCTTGCTAGGTTGTGATCACTGTATCTCTTGCTCTGTTATAAACCTGCATGTGAACTGGTCTTGTGACCACTAGCTTGTGCTCGGAATTTGTGTGGAATCCTTGAGATCCACCCTGAGCTTGTTGTTGCCTTGCTTTGCCTTGACTGGTCTTGTGACCCCTAGGTCTCCCCCACTTTGCCTATGGGGGTGTGTCAAACATTATACATGTTGTATTTGTGTAGGACGTAGTGGGTTAGCCTATAGGGGGGTCACAACTCTAGGGTTTCATATTTGTACTCACAATCCTTGCTAGTTCATCATTCCAGTCCGTTATTACTGACAGACTGGATTGTCTATATCTGCCAAATTACATAGATCCGATAGGTTAAAATATGGTTGGTGGGTGGGAAATTGTATACATTAAAGGAAATAGGAGTACATATGGTATCCAATACATTTATTACAGAGAGAATAATGTCTCGCTCGGTTCGGTCAGTATGCTCTGAAGCTTTGAAATCTCCCAAAATATGTGGATCGGAAAGGTTAAAAGCTAGTGTTGTTTACATAGAACGCCTAATCTAGTGGACTGGTAAGAATATAATACTAACTGTATCTCTACAAACATAAGTAATGCGCTGGTCAGTTTGGTCGGTATGCGCGCCTGTAGTGCAGGTACCATGTACGACTGGATTGTCTATATCTGCCAAATTACATAGATCCGATAGGTTAAAATATGGTTGGGGGGTGGGAAATGGTATACATTAAAGGAAATAGGAAAAAATATGATATTCATTGAATTTGTACAGAGAGAATAATGTCTCGCTCGGTTCGGTCAGTATGCACGTTAGTGTGTAGGTACAAGACGGAAATGAAGCTTTAAAATTCCCCAAAATATGTGGATCGGAAAGGTTAAAAGCTAGTGTTGTTGAAGTAGAAGGCCTACTCTAGTGGACTGGTAAGAATATAATACTAACTGTATCTCTACAAACATAAGTAATGCGCTGGTCAGTTTGGTCGGTATGCGCGCCTGTAGTGCAGGTACCTTGTACGACTGGATTGTCTATATTTGCCAAATTACATAGATCCGATAGGTTAAAATATGGTTTTGGGGTGGGAAATGGTATACATTTAAGGAAAAAGGAGTACATATGGTATCCAATACATTTATTACAGAGAGAATAATGTCTCGCTCGGTTCGGTCAGTATGCACGTTTGTGTGTAGGTACAAGACGGAACTGAAGCTTTGAAATTCCCCAAAATATGTGGATCGGAAAGGTTAAAAGCTAGTGTTGTTGAAGTAGAAGGCCTAATCTAGTGGACTGGTAAGAATATAATACTAACTGTATCTCTACAAACATAAGTAATGCGCTGGTCAGTTTGGTCGGTATGCGCGCCTGTAGTGCAGGTACCATGTACGACTAGATTGTCTATATCTGCCAAATTACATAGATCCGATAGGTTAAAATATGGTTGGGGGGTGGAAAATGGTATGAATTAAAGGAAATAGGAATACATATGGTATTCATTGCATTTGTACAGAGAGAATAATGCCAAGCTCGATTCGGTCAGTATGCACGTTTGTGTGTAGGTACAAGACGGAACTGAAGCTTTGAAATCTCCCAAAATATGTGGATCGGAAAGGTTAAAAGCTAGTGTTGTTGAAGTAGAAGGCCTAATCTAGTGGACTGGTAAGAATATAATACTAACTGTATCTCTACAAACATAAGTAATGCGCTGGTCAGTTTGGTCGGTATGCGCGCCTGTAGTGCAGGTACCTTGTACGACTGGATTGTCTATATCTGCCAAATTACATAGATCCGATAGGTTAAAATATGGTTGGGGGGTGGGAAATGGTATACATTGAAGGAAATAGAATTAGATATGGTATTCATTGCATTTGTACAGAGAGAATAATGCCTCGCTCGGTTCGGTCAGTATGCACGTTTGTGTGTAGGTACAAGACGGAACTGAAGCTTTGAAAACTCCCCAAATATGTGGATCGGAAAGGTTAAAAGCTAGTTTTGTTGAAGTAGAAGGCCTAATCTAGTGGACTGGTAAGAATATAATACTAACTGTATCTCTACAAACATAAGTAATGCGCTGGTTAGTTTGGTCAGAATGCTCGCCTGTAGTGCAGGTACCATGTACGACTGGATTGTCTATATCTGCCAAATTACATAGATCCGATAGGTTAAAATATGGTTGGGGGGTGGGAAATGGTATACATTAAAGGAAATAGGAATACATATGGTATTCATTGCATTTGTACAGAGAGAATAATGCCTCGCTCGGTTCGGTCAGTATGCACGTTTGTGTGTAGGTACAAGACGGAACTGAAGCTTTGAAATCTCCCAAAATATGTGGATCGGAAAGGTTAAAAGCTAGTGTTGTTGAAGTAGAAGGCCTAATCTAGTGGACTGGTAAGAATATAATACTAACTGTATCTCTACAAGCATAAGCAATGCGCTGGTCAGTTTGGTCGGTATGCGCGCCTGTAGTGCAGGTACCATGTACGTCTGGATTGTCTATATTTGCCAAATTACATAGATCCGATAGGTTAAAATATGGTTGGGGGGTGGGAAATGGTATACATTAAAGGAAATAGGAGTACATATGGTATCCAATACATTTATTACAGAGAGAATAATGTCTCGCTCGGTTCGGTCAGTATGCACGTTTGTGTGTAGGTACAAGACGGAACTGAAGCTTTGAAATTCCCCAAAATATGTGGATCGGAAAGGTTAAAAGCTAGTGTTGTTGAAGTAGAAGGCCTAATCTAGTGGACTGGTAAGAATATAATACTAACTGTATCTCTACAAACATAAGTAATGCGCTGGTCAGTTTGGTCGGTATGCGCGCCTGTAGTGCAGGTACCTTGTACGACTGGATTGTCTATATCTGCCAAATTACATAGATCCGATAGGTTAAAATATGGTTGGGGGGTGGGAAATGGTATGCATTGAAGGAAATAGGAATACATATGATATTCATTGAATTTGTACAGAGAGAATAATGTCTCGCTCGGTTCGGTCAGTATGCACGTTTGTGTGTAGGTACAAGACGGAACTGAAGCTTTGAAATTCCCCAAATTATGTGGATCGGAAAGGTTATAAGCTAGTGTTGTTGAAGTAGAAGGCCTACTCTAGTGGACTGGTAAGAATATAATACTAACTGTATCTCTACAAACATAAGTAATGCGCTGGTCAGTTTGGTCGGTATGCGCGCCTGTAGTGCAGGTACCTTGTACGACTGGATTGTCTATATCTGCCAAATTACATAGATCCGATAGGTTAAAATATGGTTGGGGGGTGGGAAATGGTATACATTAAAGGAAATAGGAATACATATGATATTCATTGAATTTGTACAGAGAGAATAATGTCTCGCTTGGTTCGGTCAGTATGCGCGTTAGTGTGTAGGTACAAGACGGAACTGAAGCTTTGAAATCTCCCAAAATATGTGGATCGGAAAGGTTAAAAGCTAGTGTTGTTGAAGTAGAAGGTCTAATCTAGTGGATTGGTAAGCATATAATACTAACATAAGTAATGCGCTGGTCAGTTTGGTCGGTATGCGCGCCTGTAGTGCAGGTACCATGTACGACTGGATTGTCTATATCTCCCAGCTTACATAGATCCGATAGGTTAAAATATGGTTGGGGGGTGGGAAATGGTATACATTAAAGGAAATAGGAATACATATGGTATTCATTGCATTTGTACAGAGAGAATAATGCCAAGCTCGGTTCGGTCAGTATGCACGTTTGTGTGTAGGTACAAGACGGAACTGAAGCTTTGAAATCTCCCAAAATATGTGGATCGGAAAGGTTAAAAGCTAGTGTTGTTGAAGTAGAAGGCCTAATCTAGTGGACGAGTAAGAATATAATACTAACTGTGTCTCTACAAACATAAGTAATGCGCTGGTCAGTTTGGTCGGTATGCGCGCCTGTAATGCATGTACCATGTACGACTGGTTGACAAATTACATAGATCCGATAGGTTAAAATATGGTTGGGGGGTGGGAAATGGTATACATTAAATGAAATAGGAATACATATGGTATCCATTGCGTTTATTACAGAGAGAATAATGTCTTTCTCGGTTCGGTCAGTATGCACGTTTGTGTGTAGGTACAAGACGGAACTGAAGCTTTGAAAACTTCCAAAATATGTGGATCTGAAAGGTTAAAAGCTAGTTTTGTTGAAGTAGAAGGCCTAATCTAGTGGACTGGTAAGAATATAATACTAACTGTATCTCTACAAACATAAGTAATGCGCTGGTTAGTTTGGTCAGAATGCGCGCCTGTGTCAGAATAACTGAACGAGGAATGAGTGAACTAGCAGTGAAATGAGTACAAGTACCTAACCCTAGAATTGTGTACCCCCTATAGGCTAACCCACTGCAGCCTAAACAAGCACAACACATATAATGTTTGACACACCCCCATAGGCAAAGTGGGGGAGAGCAAGGGGTCACAAGACCAGTCAAAGCAAAGCAAAACAAGCTCAGGGTGGATCTCAAGGATACCACACAAATTCCGAGCACAAGCAAGTGGTCACAAGACCAGTTCACATGCAGGTTGATAATATAACAAGAGAAACAGTGATAACAACCTAGCAAGTGTAAACATGCAGGCATATATATAAAGATCACAGTACAAGCAGAGTCAAGAAGTAAGCAAGTGGGGTCCAGCAGGCACAAGGCCTAGAAGAGTACAGAAACGCTGATGGTCACAAGGCTGAAGCGCCTTGGTGAACACATCCGCAAGGTTGGCCTCAGTGGCCACGTAACGCAGACGAAGCTGACCACGCTGCTGCAGCTCTCGAGCAAGGAAGTACCGCAGGGCGATGTGCTTCGTTCTGTGCTCCAGTCTGTGCTCCTCACACAAGGCAATGGCAGCCTGGTTGTCGACGTACAGCACTGGAGGAGAACGAGGCCGCTCTCCCAAGTCGGTCAGCAGGTAGGTCAGCCAGCGTAGCTCCTGGGCAGCCATGGCTGTGGCGTAGATCTCAACCTCACAACTGGAGCTGAGAACAGAAGAAGAGCGTGTAGAACGCCAAGAAACTGAGCCGGAGCCAAGGCTGAAGGTGTAACCCTGAGACGACCGCTGAGTAGCCTGGTCGTCCGCCCAAGAAGCGTCTGAGTGTCCAGTAAGTACAACTCGGTCTCGCCCTCCAAGCACTAGCCCCATGCCCGACGTACTGCACAAGTAGCGCAACACCCTCTTAGCGGCATCCATGTGCTCCTTCCTGTGACGGCCAGGAGCGACATAGCGCGCAAGGATGCTAAGAGGGTATGCAAGGTCAGGTCGAGTGCAGGTCATCAGGTACATGAGGCAGCCCACAAGCTCTGGATACGGGCCACTCGGCTCTACGGACTCATCCGAAGGCAGAGCTGAGAGCGAGTGACCGGTAGGCAGAGGAGTGGACTGAGGCGAGGAGTACGTGAAGCGGAAGCGCTGAAGGATCTGCTGCACCATGTGTGACTGAGTCAAGGTGATGGTGCGCCGTGCTCTGTCCCGGGTGATCCGCAAGCCAAGATAGCTTGTCAACTCACCCAGGTCTGTGCACGTGTGTCTCCTCTGCAGCTCCGACTTCACGTGGGCGAGTGCCGCGGTGTCAGCAGTGGCAAAGACCAAGTCGTCGACGTACACGAGGATGTAGAACGGCGGCAGTGAGGTGTCTGTGCGTAGAAACAGTGACGGGTCAGCAGTAGAAGGAGAAAACCCAAGAGCCGCAAGTGTCGTCCTCAGTGTGTCGTGCCACTCACGTGGTGCCTGGCGGAGACCGTAGACCGGCCGCTGAAGCCTCCACTGGGTACCAGGAGGAACCGACCCAGTGAAGCCAGGAGGGCGGCGCAGCCAGATCTCCTCGTGCAGGCTGCCCTGCAAGAAAGCAGTGCTGAAGTCAAGCGAGTGAAGCTCGTAGTCGCGCTGAGCGGCTATGTGCAGCAGCACCCGAAGAGTGGTCATCTTCGGGGTGGGGGAGAAGGTATGGAAGAAGTCAACTCCCTCTCGCTGACTGAAGCCTCGAGCCACGTAGCGCGCCTTGAAGACCGGAGGAGAACCCGGTGGCCGCTTCACCCTGAAAATCCACATGCCACTGACGATGTTCGCCCCAGGTGGGGGAACCTCGTCGACGTAGGTGCGTGTGGACTTCTAGGAAGCCATCTCTGCGTCCATGGCTGTCTGCCACTGAGAGGAGTAGGGACCCGCCATCGCCTCAGCGTAAGTGCGCGGGGTCGGGATGTCTGGTGCATCCGGGTCTCCCTCAGGGGCAACTAGCATGGACACGAGGTGGGGTAAAGCAGCAGCAAAGCACTGGAACTCCTCCTGTCTGTCCTCAAGGACGTCCGTGCCAAGAGCACACTCACCCCCGACGGACGGAGGACAGACAGACTCAGACTCAGACTCAGCAACAAGGCTAGTGGCGTAGTCCAGACGAAACTAGGCAGCAAAGTCTATCAACTCAGCGACCAGAGCAGACGCAGCAGAGGACTCAAAGGTAGGGTCAGTGACAACAGTAGCGAGGAGACGGGTGACAGTGGGACTGGCAGCACGACGGGAGTCAGACTCCGGATCAGGAAGAGTAGGCAGAGAGGACGCAGGAGGAGACGGCAGCGGAACACGCTGAGGAGCAGTGGAGGGACGCAGAGTCATGTAGTGAGTGCCAGGGACAGGAGGAGGACGCTCACGTGGGACACGACGACCAGTGCGAGCAGTACGAACAGGCGACGCAGGACGAGACTCAGGCTCACGACGCTCTGTAAGACCTCCCGTGGGACCAGTGTAAGGAGAGGGAGCAGGGAGAGGCGAGGCAGGCGGGAACTGTGACTGTGACTGGACAGGCGGAGGACACTCTACGGAGGAAGGAGGACAAGGAGGAGGAGCCTGACCAAGAACCTGCTGAAGAAGTGGTACGAAGTACGGTCGCGGTCGCGTAGCGTCTCCAGAACCAGCAGGGACACCAGCGACAGGGTCCTCAGCACCAACAGCAGCTCCAACGTCCGGGTCCTCAGCACCAGCAGCAGCTCCACCGCTCGGGTCCGCAGCACCAGCAGCAGCTCCAACGCCCGGGTCCTCAGCACCAGCAGCAGCGCCACCCCCAGGGTCCGCAGCACTAGGAGCACCACTCCGAAGACTGCAGCGCCGCGTGTACCACTCTCGGATCTGCTGAATGGGGGGGAGCTCCTGGGCAGGAGGGGAAGTACTGGTGCGAGCTCCAGTAGCACCTCTCCGGAGGCGGCAGTACTGTAGGTACCTCTCCTGCAGCTGCCGGGAGGAGAGGGCTCCTCCAGGTGTAGCACGCTCAGGCTCAGCACCCCCAGACTCAGCACCCCCAGGCTCAGCACCCCCAGGCTCAGTACCTCCAGGCTCAGCACCCCCAGGCTCAGCACCCCCAGGCTCAGCACCCCCAGGCTCCGCACCTCCAGGCTCCGCACCCCCAGGCTCCGCACCCCCAGGCTCCGCACCCCCAGGCTCAGTACCCTCAGACTCCTCACGGTCAGGCTCAGCACCCCCAGCAGGACGAGAGTCAACAGCTACCTCGACAGGCTCAACCGGGTCTACCTGGGACACACCTGAGGGAGCGGCACCCTGAGGGGGGAGGGGGTCTGGTACCTCAGCACCTGGAGCGAAAAAGAGAGGCGGGGGGGGGAGCGGGGCAGTGCGGTAGGGGAAGAGGCGGTAGTAGGGGACGGACTCGTCAAAAGTGACGTCCTGAGAGGCCAGGACACGACGCGAGGTGGCGTGGTAGAACTGCCAACCAGGCGCGTCCGGGACGAAGCCAAGGAAGACACAGGGGACAGCTCGACGAGAGAGCTTGTCCGCGGACGTATCGCGAACAAAAGCTCGAGATCCCCAGACCCGAAAACGCGACGCATTGCCAGCCTCTCCCGTCCAACGCAGTGTCGGAGAGGTCTCCGGTAAGGAGACACGGGGCCAGAGGTTGAGCTGATGCGCAGCGTATCGGACTGCAAACGGCCACAGAAAGTGGGGGGCAGCCGCATGAACTAAGGAGGTACGAGCGACCTCCATGACCAAGCCAATGCGGCGCTCAGCAACCCCATTCTGCTGTGGAGAGGCCGGAAGCGTGAACGACTGCTCAATGCCCTCCTGCTGACAGAAGGCCTCCAAGAGGCCAGAGGAAAACTCCCCACCTCTGTCAGAGTGCAGACGCAGGACAGGGAAGTCGGAGCGGAAACGCTCACTGAGCTGGAGACGAGATCTGCGGATCCAAGGGATCAAGACATCAGGGACGTCACCCTTGGTGCGCAAGGGGAAGACCGTGGTGTAGCGCGAGAAGTCGTCAACAACAATCAGGAAGTACCTCTCCTGACCCTGACCACGGACGCGGGCTGGGCCCCACACGTCCATGTGGAGCGTCTGCAAAGGAGCAGTCGTCGGGGGGAAGGAGGAGGAGTGAGGAGCGGCTCGCTGCCGCCCCTCGACACAGGGAAGACAGGGAGGAGCAGGCGAGGGTGGGAGGGGAGGGAGAACCCTGGGAAGACCAGCAACAAGGTCCCGTTTGTGCATGGCCCGAAGGCGCTGCACAGACGGGTGACCAAGGCGGTGGTGCCAGAGGACAGTCTCATGCGCCAGAGAGCGACACGAGCAGGGGGCGGACAGCTGACCTGACGCAGACGCAGACGCGGACGCAGCTACCTGAGGGGACTCAGTGGTCAGTGTGTACAGGTCCGACCCCGGCTGCCGAGTGAAGGTAGCCAGGTGACGGCCCGTCCGAGCACACGTGCAGTGGGTCACGCGCTCGTAAGCAGGGGTGAACTGGTGAACACCCCCGTCCTGGAGCGCACTACCTGCCACCAAGTTCGTAGAGAACGAGGGGAGGTAGAGGCCTGACAGTGTGCCTGACGGGACCGCAGGACAAGGAAGGACAGTGGAGGAGGTCGCAACGACCGGACCCCCAGAGGGGTCAGCGAGGGAGACAGCAACTGGCCGAGCAAGCGGCTCAAGGACAGTGCGGTCACGAAAGAAACAGCGAGAAGCACCTGAGTCCAGTGTGAAGGTGTGCAGTGCTGCAGTCGACTCAGTACCAGAGGGCACGGACTCACTAGCACCTAGAGCAGCAGCCTCACCAGGACCTGGGGCAGCAGACTCACTAGCACCTAGAGCGGCAGCCGGACTGGTCAGAATGCCCGGGTCGGGCGGAACACGCAAGTACTGAGCACCCTCTCCACTAGTAAACATCGCATACATGGCAGTGAGAATAGCATCAAAGTCTAAAGCCCAGATATCAACTCCCTTCTTCTCCAGATCAGCCCAGTGGGGCAGGTCAGTGGCATCAGGAAACTGGGCACGCCACGCGTCAGTAAGGCGCGCGAAACAGCGCTGTGTGGGATGCGGCCTCCCACACTGCTGGCCAGTGCGGTCACCAGTGCGAATGACGTACGTGCAGGTAAAGCCACGCTGCGCATACCACTCACGGGCGGCCTGAAGCGACGGGGCGGGCTGCTGACTCTGGCCACCGCCAGTGCCTCCACGACCACCACCGCCGCCGCCACCGCCCCGGCCACCTCCACCCCTGCCGCCGCCACGACCACCTCCGCCTCCGCTGCCGCCTCCGCCCCTGCCACCGCTCCCGCCGCTGCTGTCACCACCCCCACTGCCGCCACTAGCCTCTCCAGTCCCACCTCCACTCCCACCGCCTCCACCCCCGCCTCCCCCGCCGCCACCTCCACCCTTGCCCCCTTTGCCCCTGCGGCGCCCGCTCGGAGCAGACGCAGCCCCAACCTTCTCAGCACCAAGGAGGTCGACAGCAGCAGCAGAGGCGACAGAGGGGAGGAGAGGGGAAGGGGAACACCCCTCAAAGAACGGGGTGCGGGGGTCGCCACGAGAGGTGCCTACAGCGACGATGCTCGCCTCAGCTGCAAGCAATTCCTTCTCGAGGAGGGCAATGGTGAGCTCAGTGGGAGAGCGAGCGAGGAAGTGATCCCTGACTACGCGCAGAGAGTCAGGGAGGCGGGTGACGATGTGGTAGAGTGTGATCCAGAGCGGGGGGGGTTGGTGGCAAGGAACTCGTCAGGCATAGCAGCGCGAAAGCGGGCCTCACTGGTCCTGAGGTGGGTGATGAGGTCAGCGACTGTGCTGAAGGAGGCCAGGTCGGGGAACAGGTATGGGAGGGTGAGGCGGCCTAGTGCGGCAGAGGCAGGTGAGGAGTAACGAGCAACGACAGCAGTGTACAGGTCCTTAGCAGTCTTGTGCTGGCCAAAGTGCTCGCGCTCATCTAGTGGCAGGGAGTTGCGAATAGCGAAGCGAGCGTGGGCGTCACGAGTCTGCCACTGTGAGCGCTGAGTGCTGTCTGCAGTGGTAGGAGGGGCAGTAGCGTGACCGAGGGCATGATCGTACAGCGAAATATCCTCCTTGGCAGTGAGCTGTAGGAAGAGGTGCAGGTCATCTAGCCAGGTGTCAAATTTCACTGGGCGGCCCTCAGCATCGAAAGCAAGTACGGGAGGACTGGCCATAGTGGCAGCAGTAGTTGCAGTAGGAACAGTAGTAGTAGCCGTAGAAGAAATAGGAGGAGCAGCAGTATCGACGGGGCTGCTGGTACGGGCGGCGCGGCTCGGTCTGACGGCGCGGCTCGGTTCAGGTAGGGCGGCGCGGCTCGGTTCGGTTGCTTGGAGCTGTTAAGCGGGGCTCGACGGGGCCGAGGGGCCGCTAAGCGGGGCGCAGGAGGGTCGCGGGGCCGTGAGGTGGCGGGCGACGGGGCCACGGGGCCGCTAAACGGGGTGCGCGCGGGGCCGCGGGGCCTCTAGTTGAGGGTCGACGGGGCCGCGGGGCCGCTAAACGGGGGGCGCGCGGGGCCGCGAGGCCTCTAGGTGTGGGGCGACGGGGCCACGGGGCCGCTAAACGGGGTGCGCGTGGGGCCGAGGGGCCTCTAGGGTGGGTCGACGGGGCCGCGGGGCCGCTAAACGGGGTGCGCGCGGGGTCGACGGGGCCAAGCGGGCCGGAATCGGGGCGCGCGCGGGTGCGACGGGGCCACTAAGGGGCAGCGTGCGGGGTCGACGGGGCCTTAAGGGGCCGTACACGAGGGCGCACGAGGGCGCTGAGGGGGAGGCGCTAACGCAGCACTCCGACAGTAGGTAGGAAGTAGGTAGTAGAGGTGGGCTCGGAAAAAAAAACTTAGGTCCTAGCGAAGGACCTGCTCTGAAACCATGTCAGAATAACTGAACGAGGAATGAGTGAACTAGCAGTGAAATGAGTACAAGTACCTAACCCTAGAATTGTGTACCCCCTATAGGCTAACCCACTGCAGCCTAAACAAGCACAACACATATAATGTTTGACAGCCTGTAGTGCAGGTACCATGTACGACTGGATTGTCTATATCTGCCAAATTACATAGATCCGATAGGTTAAAATATGGTTGGGGGGTGGGAAATGGTATACATTAAAGGAAATAGGAATACATATGGTATTCATTGCATTTGTACAGAGAGAATAATGCCTCGCTCGGTTCGGTCAGTATGCACGTTTGTGTGTAGGTACAAGACGGAACTGAAGCTTTGAAATCTCCCAAAATATGTGGATCGGAAAGGTTAAAAGCTAGTGTTGTTGAAGTAGAAGGCCTAATCTAGTGGACTGGTAAGAATATAATACTAACTGTATCTCTACAAACATAAGTAATGCGCTGGTCAGTTTGGTCGGTATGCGCGCCTGTAGTGCAGGTACCATGTACGTCTGGATTGTCTATATTTGCCAAATTACATAGATCCGATAGGTTAAAATATGGTTGGGGGGTGGGAAATGGTATACATTAAAGGAAATAGGAGTACATATGGTATCCAATACATTTATTACAGAGAGAATAATGTCTCGCTCGGTTCGGTCAGTATGCACGTTTGTGTGTAGGTACAAGACGGAACTGAAGCTTTGAAATTCCCCAAAATATGTGGATCGGAAAGGTTAAAAGCTAGTGTTGTTGAAGTAGAAGGCCTAATCTAGTGGACTGGTAAGAATATAATACTAACTGTATCTCTACAAACATAAGTAATGCGCTGGTCAGTTTGGTCGGTATGCGCGCCTGTAGTGCAGGTACCTTGTACGACTGGATTGTCTATATCTGCCAAATTACATAGATCCGATAGGTTAAAATATGGTTGGGGGGTGGGAAATGGTATACATTAAAGGAAATAGGAATACATATAATATTCATTGAATTTGTACAGAGAGAATAATGTCTCGCTCGGTTCGGTCAGTATGCACGTTTGTGTGTAGGTACAAGACGGAACTGAAGCTTTGAAATTCCCCAAAATATGTGGATCGGAAAGGTTAAAAGCTAGTGTTGTTGAAGTAGAAGGCCTAATCTAGTGGACTGGTAAGAATATAATACTAACTGTATCTCTACAAACATAAGTAATGCGCTGGTCAGTTTGGTCGGTATGCGCGCCTGTAGTGCAGGTACCTTGTACGACTGGATTGTCTATATCTGCCAAATTACATAGATCCGATAGGTTAAAATATGGTTGGGGGGTGGGAAATGGTATACATTAAAGGAAATAGGAATACATATGATATTCATTGAATTTGTACAGAGAGAATAATGTCTCGCTCGGTTCGGTCAGTATGCGCGTTAGTGTGTAGGTACAAGACGGAACTGAAGCTTTGAAATCTCTCAAAATATGTGGATCGGAAAGGTTAAAAGCTAGTGTTGTTGAAGTAGAAGGCCTAATCTAGTGGACTGGTAAGAATATAATACTAACTGTATCTCTACAAACATAAGTAATGCGCTGGTCAGTTTGGTCGGTATGCGCGCCTGTAGTGCAGGTACCATGTACGACTGGATTGTCTATATCTGCCAGCTTACATAGATCCGATAGGTTAAAATATGGTTGGGGGGTGGGAAATGGTATACATTAAAGGAAATAGGAATACATATGGTATTCATTGCATTTGTACAGAGAGAATAATGCCAAGCTCGGTTCGGTCAGTATGCACGTTTGTGTGTAGGTGTCGAAACAAGCTAGGCAAGAAAGAATGAAAAGGAGAGGGGTTTGCACTAGCAACAATGGTGGTACAAATAGCTAACCCTAGAAGGGTTGTACTCGCTATAGAGCACCCCACTGCAGGCTAGAGCATAATATTCTGACACACCCCCATAGTCAAAGTGGGGTGTAATCAGCAGAGCAAGCAAAGTAGTACAAGCTCAGGGTGGATCACGATGTCACCACACATTCTGAGCACAAGCAAGAAGCAATAGTTTAAGGTTCACAATTATGAGCAAAGCTAGAGGCAGTCACAGGGGGCAAGTGAGGAGGAGGAGGGCTGGTGAGAGGAGAGTAGATAGGAGGCGACGACTGAAGATGCAGACACACGGGCAACAGACGGCTCTGGTGCGACAACGTGGCTACCGGGAATGAGTGCCCCGGAGTACAGGAGTAACAGGCTCCGCGGCTAATATGCGCGGCAGGAGCAACGGACCCACAGGCGACGGCGCAACCGGCTCTCTGAGCTACCGGGAATGAGTGCCCCGGAGTACAGGCGCTGCGTACGACACGACGGCAACCTCCGCTCAACCTCCCCCAACAGTCCCACACCCCTCGACACACACCCCCTGCTGCGCCCCTAGCTCCACTCCCCCTTCACCCCCCTAGGACCACTCCTTCGGCTCCCCACACAACCACCCCCCTGAGCGGCAGCTGCAGCAGCGGGAGACGGAGGAGGAGGAGAAGGAGGGGACGGGGCACACAACCGGCACCCCCACACCCGCCACCCCCACACTCCACATCCCCAAACCCTAAAACGGGTGGGATAGGGGCAGGAGCGCGGGGGACGGCGAGAGGGGGACGGACGAGGCGCGCGAGAAGCATAACAGCAGCGGAAGCAGTTAGGTGGTGGGCCCACCCACAGGATCGACCCAAGGGGGTCGACCTGCTCTGATAGCATGTCGAAACAAGCTAGGCAAGAAAGAATGAAAAGGAGAGGGGTTTGCACTAGCAACAATGGTGGTACAAATAGCTAACCCTAGAAGGGTTGTACTCGCTATAGAGCACCCCACTGCAGGCTAGAGCATAATATTCTGACAGTAGGTACAAGACGGAACTGAAGCTTTGAAATCTCCCAAAATATGTGGATCGGAAAGGTTAAAAGCTAGTGTTGTTGAAGTAGAAGGCCTAATCTAGTGGACGAGTAAGAATATAATACTAACTGTGTCTCTACAAACATAAGTAATGCGCTGGTCAGTTTGGTCGGTATGCGCGCCTGTAATGCATGTACCATGTACGACTGGTTGACAAATTACATAGATCCGATAGGTCAAATATGGTTGGGGGGTGGGAAATGGTATACATTAAATGAAATAGGAATACATATGGTATCCATTGCGTTTATTACAGAGAGAATAATGTATTTATCGGTTCGGTCAGTATGCACGTTTGTGTGTAGGTACAAGACGGAACTGAAGCTTTGAAATCTCCCAAAATATGTGGATCGGAAAGGTTAAAAGCTAGTTTTGTTGAAGTAGAAGGCCTAATCTAGTCGAGTGGTAAGAATATAATACTAACTGTATCTCTACAAACATAAGTAATGCGCTGGTCAGTTTGGTCGGTATGCGCGCCTGTAGTGCATGTACCATGTACGACTGGTTGACAAATTACATAGATCCGATAGGTTAAAATATGGTTGGGGGGTGGGAAATGGTATACATTAAAGGAAATAGGAATACATATGGTATCCATTGCGTTTATTAAAGAGACAATAATGCCTCGCTCGGTTCGGTCAGTATGCACGTTTGTGTGTAGGTACCAGACAGAACTGAAGCTTTGAAATCTCCCAAAATATGTGGATCGGAAAGGTTAAAAGCTAGTGTTGTTGAAGTAGAAGGCCTAATATAGTCGAGTGGTAAGAATATAATACTAACTGTATCTCTACAAACATAAGTAATGCGCTGGTCAGTTTGGTCGGTATGTGCGCCTGTACTACAGGTACCATGTACGACTGGATTGTCTATATCTGCCAAATTACATAGATCCGATAGGTTAAAATATGGTTGGGGGGTGGGAAATGGTATACATTAAAGGAAATAGGAATACATATGGTATTCATTGCATTTGTACAGAGAGAATAATGCCTCGCTCGGTTCGGTCAGTATGCACGTTTGTGTGTAGGTACAAGACGGAACTGAAGCTTCGAAATCTCCAAGAAGATGTGGACCAGACAAGTTAAAAGCTAGTGTTGTTAACGTAGAAGGCCTAATCTAGTGGACTGGTAAGAATATAATACTAACTGTATCTCTACAAACATAAGTAATGCGCTGGTCAGTTTGGTCGGTATGCGCGCCTGTAGTGCAGGTACCTTGTACGACTGGATTGTCTATATCTGCCAAATTACATAGATCCGATAGGTTAAAATATGGTTGGGGGGTGGGAAATGGTATACATTAAAGGAAAAAAGAATACATATGGTATTCATTGCATTTGTACAAAGAGAATAACGCCTCGCTTGGTTCGGTCAATATGCATGTTTG